TCATTGCCTCCCCTCCGCCGAGCCTCGTCACCCCCCGATTCCTCCTCTCCCAAACACCTTACCCTCCTGAGTCTGGACATCCCGATTCCCCCACCTCCAAGCCTCCTCACACCTCCCACCCGCCGATTCCTCCTCTTTGAGCCACTCCCAAACCTGAATACCCAGATTCCACCTCCAGCATCCTAACCCCACTACTCCCCTCCTGTGCCCCCCAGCCACGGTACCCTCCCGAGCCTGGACTAGGGTTGCCAGGCCTCCAGGATTGTCCTGGAGTCTCCAGGAATTCATCCAACCAAAGTTGGCAACCCTAGCCTGGACATCTTGATTCTTCCCATCCTCCGTGAGCCTGGACACTCCGATTCCCCTTTCTGAGCCTCGTCACCTCCTGATTTGCCCCCGCCCCCCCCCAGCTACAATACCTTTCTGAGCCTGGACACTCCGATTGCCCACGCCGATTCCCTACTATGAGGCTTATCACCCCTCGATTCCCTCCCTGCCCAGTCACGGTACTCTCCTGAGCCGTGTCACTCTTGATTCCTGGAGCCTGGACACTCCGATTTCTCCTTTGGAGCCGTGACATCACTGAGTTCCCGTTCCCTCCTCCCTGAGCCTCGTCGCCTCTCCCTCACTGGGTCGCCCTCTCCCAGTTCCTCCTCACCTCACTCTCCTCCTTGCCCCCTGAGTCTCCCTGACATCCCTGATTCTCCCGTTCCTTCCATCCTGGACACCCCTCCATTTCTCCCCGCTGTTCCCCCTCGCCTCCGAGTCTGGACACCCCCAGTTCTCCCTTGCGGCCCCCTCTCACACCTCTGATTCTTCCCCATCCTCCCTGTCCTCAAATCTGGTCCCCCTCAGTTCTCTAGATCCTCTGTTTCTCATTTTGCCCCCAGAGTAGCTTCCCAGCTCCTCCATCCTTCAGCAGGTGTTCCCTGAAGTGGCTGACATCTGTAAAAGTTGTGAATAGTTTTGAAAGGCTTGAGGTGATGTTACAAAAGCTCGTATCCTCAAAGATCAGGATCTGATGATACTTTGGCCTTTTTTAGCTTGGGGATAATGAGAGAGACTTGTTGGTTTCGTTTTTTGCTTTCCATGCACTCTTAGGGTGCTACAGTGTGTGGATTGCAAACACAGTAGGGAACAGTTTAAAGTCCAATAAAAGCCTTATTTGTGTTATGGTGTGTCTTGATTTCACAATATATAAAAATGCTATTATTAGATTTTAATGAAACTTTAAAAAGAGTAAAAATCCCCTAACTTCTATTTTGAAGCATCAATAAGTTGTTGCTATGGTCATTCAAGGAAGAATATAGTATCAAGAGCAGAAAAGGTGAAGAATAAAAATCAAACGAATGAGGAATGGACTTGTCTGCTACAATGATCATTAGTAACCAAATCACACAATGAATTGAAATAATGAATCACTTTGCATTGCAGCTGCTGATTCAAGTCAAGGCCAGTTTTTACTGACTCTTGGAGAAAGTTTTGCTGTGACAATGTCAGGGTGACTTCCTCTTAAAGGTATAATATTGTTGCGTTTTGAGTTTTCAACATAACAATCTATTTCTTTGCTCTTGTACAGCCCTTGTTGGATTATCCTTCAGTGGAGCCATTGGTCTAACGTTTCTTATGTTGGGATGTGCCCTAGAATATTATGGGTAAGAAATAATTCAGTTCAAAAATAAAAATTGACTTTGTTCTAACTTTGTGTTCTTGAACTGCCCATGTCAATACACATATGAAGTCTAGTTGTATGTCGGTCCCATATAATTTGGAGCATGCACATTTAACCACTGTTTTATTAGCTACAAGATAAGTTTAGTAGTTAACTAAGAATTGTGGACTCTGATTGGATGGCTTTGTAACCCATTTAGCTTTGCATTTACGATTATTCATATTAAGCCTACTATCCTAGAACACCATTGTAAGGTCCAGAACCAACACATGGTAATGGGGCTCTAGTTACTGAAAATACACTATTTTAATTGATGTTTAACTCCTGTAAAAACTGGACTAAAATATTGTATACTGAATCTCGGTTGTATTGTTTATAGTATTGTTTAATGAGTCAGTAATTTTAACTTTGTAGAAGTATTTTTGCAGTAGATTTCTCTAGTATTGATTTGATTTTAATCAATATTTTACTGATTTTTATTAAAATAGTAATACCGAATTAATGGAGTAGAGGTCAATTTATCTGACATGCACAAGCAGCATTAAACAAAATACAAATGATATTTAAATTTTACTAATTCTAAACAACAACCAGATGGTTTATTTTTGAAAAAATATATAAAAATAATTGTAAAATTCACTGATTTTTAAGATTAACTATTAGATATACACTTTTCCAATAGTGACTGAAGGGCAAAAACATTAAACATGCTTACATATCAATTGTTTTCTGATCAGCAAAAGGCTAAAAAGTAGGTTATTTAGTAGAAACATTGGTCCTGATCTTACAAAGACACACATACTTAATTTTGTGCATGTGAAAATCCCTTTGAAATCTATAAAGTTGTCTGTCTGATTTGATTTCAATGTGAAAAGTAACTTTGTTTTCTTTTTGGGGCTTTTTCTCCCACAGTGTTTACTGGCCCCTGTTTGTCTTGATATTTTACATCCTTTGTCCCATTCCTCACTTCATTGCAAAAAGAGTAAGCGATGACACTGATGCAGCTAGCAGTGCCTGCAGGGAATTGGCCTATTTCTTCACAACTGGAATTGTTGTTTCTGCCTTTGGAATGCCTATAATCCTTGCACGTGTTGAAGCGGTACGTTCTGCTGACTCTTTCTTATTATTCTCATTCTAATGTATTTTATAATGCTCTGTATGAAGGACACTATATAAAACCAAATTGTTTTAGCAATTGTAGGTTTTTGACAGTAGGCAAAACCAGAAATGTCCACAAGAGGGTACTCTAATCCCTAGCAACATCTCCTAAGAGCAAAATATTTTTAAGACTGGGGCATGGGATTGTTTGGCTACAAAAAGCTATTGCTATTTATTTTTGCAAATTATTGCTCATTGTTATTCCTTGCCTTGATTTTATGGAATATCTTCCAATCTGTAATGCCTAGACGCTAGGAGAAAGCATTGAGTTTAAAAGAATTTTCTGTATCCTGTATTATTTGTTCTTTTTGCCAAGATGATTCTGCTTTAAGATAATTATTTAGTTCTGAAAGATAGTGTATTGCAGAAGACTGTCTAATGAAGGGAGAATGTATAAGTATAATACTAGTTACTTCAGTGGTTGCTAATTGAATGCTTGAACTGAATCAATTGTTCGTTGGTCTTTTCTCTTATGCTTTTAGCACCTGTGTGTGATATTTCAGTTAGCTTATCTAATGCATGAAAGTAACACAGATCTGTACACGTCATGTAAACCAAATAAGGATTTCTTTTCTTCTCATCTTGTATTTCAGATCAAGTGGGGAGCCTGTGGTCTTGTGCTAGCTGGCAATGCAGTCATTTTTCTTACCATTTTAGGCTTTTTTCTTGTATTTGGTAGAGGAGATGACTTTAGCTGGGAGCAGTGGTAGGACTTCACTATGATGTTGGTGATATGCAACATACATGTTTATATACTGTATATATGTATGTGTGTACGTTGGAATGTTTGTGCCTGCACATGTAGCCTTATGCTATCCGAACATAATATGCTTTTTTACACTTGTATGTCAGCCAAATTAAGGGGAAAAGAGCCTTCTGACAGCTTTTTTAATAGGTACAGAATAAGCTGAAATCACAATAGCTAAATCTGTCCTTAAATCTTTGTTTACACAGTGTGCACTATTTTATTGATTTTTAGTTTTTAATTTTGATATAATACCATTGGAATGTATGTTGGGAGTCAGCTAACATAGCTGACATTTTTAACAGCATAATCAAAATGGGCCTATATATTGACTGCACAGTTTAGTCTCCTGGTTTCGCTAACTTGATTAACTTCTGTTATGTGACTAGGATGGAACAAATATTTGCCTTTGTATTCAAATAATTGTAATTTTCAGTAGCTTGTTCTCTCAGTTTAAAAAAAAAACCCATTGAATACCTAGAATAGCTGCTGCCAAGTATCTCATGTCCTATCCACGATAAAGGGAGAGTGAGAAGTATTGGATGTTCTAGGAGGCTATGTTCTAATTTCTCTGCATTATCAGGCTCACCTTTGTATTAATGGTGCATAGTGCACTACCAGAACCACATCTGGTCTTGGATCTCACTACAACAGGTAAAGGGAAAGTAGATTCAACAAACACCCTCCCCTACACTCCTATTCAGCATTCAACAAATAAAAACGGAAAATATTCTGTTTTCATCCCACTCTAGTTGTAACTGTGGGTGTATGTTGGGGGTAATCTGATAACTCCATTTTAATGTCTTACCGTGTTATAAACTGACATTACTTCTTACCGTATATACTTGTTCATAAGCTGAATTTTTTTAGTAAAAAAGGGAAGCATCAGAGACGGGGGTCGGCTTATGAATGGGTATAGAGAAGTACAGCCCCTCCCCCCCAACAGAGGGAGCAAGGAGAGGCAGCAGAGACAGAAAGGAAGAGGCGGGGCCAGAGTCTCTCCACTTCTGGCCACGCTGCTCTCCCCCCAGCCTCCGAAGCAGCTGCAGCTCCGGGGCTGGCAGGCTGCAATCGTGCCGCTTGGCCCCACCCCCCAGAGCAGGCTGTGGCCGTGCCGCCCGGCCTGCCGGAGCACGCTGCGGCTGTGCCACCTGGCCCAGCCCGCTGGAACATACTGCGGCCGCACCGCCCGGTCTGGCCCGCCGGAGCAGGCTGCGGCTGCGCTGCCCAGCCTGCCGGAGCAGCTCCAGCCAGGCCAGAGACATCCTCCCCTGGCCCTCCCCAGATAAGGTGGGAAGAGATGGGATGGGGAGAGTGTGGGGATCCCGGGCTAGGGGTGGGGTCATGTGCGGGGTGGTCACAAGGGTTACGCCCCTGACTCCCAGCTTCTCCCCCCCCCAAATTTCCCCACCAGTTGCTGTCCCAGCCCGTCAGGGTAAGTAGCTGGCGCGCCAGGACACTTTGTTTACTTAGGTTTACCTCCGTGCCTGCGGACGC